ACGAGTAATCACTACCCAAAATACATTTAAAAAACCTAAGGCCGCAAAACATTTCTATGGTAAAGATGGTCAAATTATAAAACTATTTAAGAACATCAACAACTCCGGTTGTAAAAACATCTAATAGACAAAAATAACAATAACTTCTCAAAATTGCGTAGCCGTAATGTAACCGGCAACCAGTCAATTTTTTTTTAGGGAATACAATTTTAAATACCGCTGCTTCATAGTCAGCCATATTAATCCATTGTTGAAAGTTACTTGAAAGTTCATTAATTTTTCTAAATATGGCGATGTAAAAACTTATTTTTCTTTCAGTCATAAATGCATGAACCACAGAAAGGATTATGTCACAATGCACAATGGAGATATTAAGTAGTTTACCTCCTTTGAAGATGCTGGGAACAACGCGATATGCTGCCTAAATGAAAATATTTGTAGATCCTGAAAAAAAAAGTTTGTAGGATTATTAAGGTGGTAGAGCTAGAAAAAATATGTAAAAATTTTTAAAAAATCGTTTTTTTTTTAATTTTTTATTTTCGAACGAAAATTACTTAGCTTTCATGTATTGAAAAAATTTTTTTAAAAAAATTATTTCTTATTTAGTTTTTAAAGCTTTTATGTAACTACATACAACGACTAGTCCTTAGTTACGCCCTTAGCAACGGTAAACAGTTTTTTTACCTTGATACCTTTCCATAAAGAACAACAAGATTTATATCATACACTGATAAACGTGCAATTGTTAAAGGTCATTAACCTAAGAAATATTGTAAATTTTGGCAGTTTTTTGAAGCAACTTTAGTGCATGCTGTTTAATTTTGATGTTATAAACCTTTTCAGATTTCACCTCAAGTATTATAAATAATGAGTACTTCAAGAAATAACATTAAAGTATCTAATAAGCAAAACTTTGGACGAAAAAAGAAAAGATTTTTTCATGGAAATCGTTATACAATTGCAGCAGAAAGACAACAGAAAAGTAATATGAATATTGTTCTAGCTTTAAGTTGTGCAAGTGCAAGAAAATTACTGCCACTGATAAATAGAAATCCAGTTGTAAATGACAAAGCGAATAAAGATTATTTCATACTTATTCATTTTTCAATTTTAAGTGATATCGTGGAAAATGTTAGATGTCCAGATTGTTACAGCTTTGTTGCCATTGTTGATAATCTTTCTAAGCGCATGGGTTTTGCCCATCATCTTGAAATCAAGTGTAGTTTATGTAAATGGAAATAGGTTTTGTATTCTTCTAAGCAGATTAGTAAATTTAATGGAAATACAGCCCAGGGTAGGAAAACATTTGAAGCAAACACAAGAATGATAATTGGATTTAGAGAAATAGGTAAAGGGTATCAATCTATGAAAAACGTTAGTCGCTGTATGAATTTACACTGTATGACAGCTACTCCATTTAGAAAACTAAATATAGAAATATCAAAAGCTTATGATAAAACTGCTAAAGAAAGTATGAAACGTACCACAAATGAAATGAAAGATAACTATACTGATGATAATAAACCAATAATGAAGCATGTTAAGATTGATGGTGCATGGCAACGATGCGGCCATACCTCCCTTAATGGATTTGTAAGTGCAATTGTGGGTGATAAGTGCGTTGATTATGAAGCAATGTCAAAATTTTGCATGGGCTGTAGAATATGGAAAATTAAAAAAGCTTCACCACGATACAATGCTTGGAAAGCTCAACATGCCTGTCATATAAATCATAAACAATCTTCTGGGTCAATGGAAGCAGCTGGTGCTGTAAAAATATTTGCACGTTCAATTTAAAATAACAATATTATTTATACTCATTATCTTGGAGATGGAGATAGCTCATCTTTTAAAGAAGTAATAAAGTCTGATCCCTATAAAGACTATAAAATAATTCCTGAAAAGTTAGAGTGTGTTGCACATGTACAAAAAAGAATGGGTACACGATTATGAAATTTAATCAAAAGTTACAAAGGAAAGCCAACTCCACTAGGTGGAAAAAATAAACTGATAGAAAATGTTATTAATAGTATGCAAAATTTTTATGGTTTAGCTATAAGAAGTAATACAAATAACATTTATGCCATGAAAAAGGCAATATGGACTATTTTGTTCCACTGTACTGGATATTCAAATCAAGAGTTTCGCCACTGCTTTTGCCCAAGAACTGAAACTAGTTGGTGTCAATATCAATATGACAAATTACATAATACTTCAAATTATAAAGAACATATTAATTTACCATTATGGATTAGTAACCTTTTGAAACCAGTGTTTAAAGATCTATCAAATGAAGAATTATTGTTAAAATGTGTACATGGGCAAACCCAAAATGCAAATGAAAGTCTTAATGCATTGGTTTGGTCTCGTTGCCCTAAAAACATATTTGTTTGTAAACAAACTTTTGAAATGAGTATTAATTCAGCAATTTTACACTACAATGATGGTACTGAAGGTGTTAAAAATGTTTTACTTTCATTTGGACTATCAACTAAAATCTTATAATAATTAAATGTATTTATTGCTTATTATTTGTTTTTTATTCTCAATTTGGTATTTTTTTTTTAACGCATACATAATAAATGATGTATATTTTTTATTCTATTAAGATTCAATGTCATTTTAGTTCAAATGAATTATCTATTGTTGAAACCTACAAAAATTCATTGTGATTTGTTGATTATATTTTGTGATATTGTGTTTTAAAATTTCCTTATTTTTTGGTTTATTTTTTTATATAAGTATGGGTAGGCGAGGCAAATTAATAAAAAAAATTGTCAAATGATTTTTAACATAAGTTCAAACTTTTTTAGAAGTTCTTGGGAAATAATAATAGTTTTAAAAAGAATTAGGTTTTTTCTAGTCCTACCACCTTAAAAAATACTATTAAAATATCATATTATGGGTATAGCATTGCCCAAGCTATACCCAAGGTTAAAAGATTTGAAATGAACTTCCAAATTAAAATTTTAAAAAAACTCATCAATAAGCCTAATGAGCTAAATTACTGTGCTACCTCAGAGTATTTGCAGTTGATAAACAAAACAGTCTATCTGGTCTTTAAATCTGAAGTTTCTTAACAGAATGATGGTAAATAGGTATGGGTTAGATATTGTTAATGCACTTCTAAGATTTGCAATAAACTGAGTTTTTTTTGCACCGCAATGTCATATTTTAAGTAGGCACGGTCGTTCAGACTTACTACAGGTAGACGGGCCCCAAAAACTCACGGACCCCAAAAGCCACTTGCTCACATTAGTACCTGTTATTCATAGATTAAGCCCTATCAAGGAGCAAAACAAATTTTTTTATTTGACAAGATAGTTTTTTGAAAGGAAAATGTCAAAAATAAGAAAATTACTCTAATATTTTGAAAACTATTCACAAAACACTAGAAATTTTTTTTTTAATTGTGTGACTTTTTGACATAATAGTCTATAAAAACTTGAAATTTTCATTTAAGTTTGCAAAGTAAAGTTTTTTGTAAAGATTTAAGACATACTTCTGCAAATAAATCAATAGAAAATAAATAAAAATGACAGTTGCTAAAATAACTCAACTCAACTAATGAGTATTTATGTGTGGTTTTTGGGGTCCCTTAACAAAAAAAAATATATATGAATCTAAAACTCAACATTAAATTGCATTTTTTCTTTTTTCTATTAATAAATATTTAACAATCAAATAAAAGATTGACAAGTTGTTTGTAAAAAGTATTAACTATTGACTCTCAAATAAGTTGATCAACTAATTGACTATTAATAATGGAATTATCTTCATATCACATATTGTTATATGAACATAAGAACTGTAAAGTCAGTTTATTAGTGTATCCTTCAAACTGCTAGCATCTTCATCACTTTCATTTTTAATAACCTTACGTTTGAGTGAATTGTTGGTTGCTGCAGCAGCTAAACATTATCGGTTTCTTCCCATCCACTTTACAAGATAACTTTCCGCAGACTGATCTTTGAATATTGTGGCAAGAAGAGCATTGTTGTAGTTTTATGGCATGGCACACACTTTCTCCACAGTTACATTCATTTTTACACCGTAAAAATGCTTCTTTTGTTTCTCTTTGTTCCATCTTCTTTCTTTCTTATCTTTTATTTCTTGATTTTTATTATCTTGAATTACCTTGACTAAGTCCAACACATTTTTTCCTTTCATTGATCCGTGAACCTGCGCAACCCTTGTAGTAAGTTTGGAAATTTTTGGCTTAACGTTCTGCACTGTCAGTAAACCAGGAATTTCTTCAAGTTGAATGTTTTTTTCGCTTAGCTCTTGAATTAGCTCTTGCGAACGTTCAATTTTTTTTTCCAATACTGAGCTGAATTTTTTCTTTTATCAGGAGAATTAATAGTATATCTTCCAGGAATTGTTGTACTGAGTGTAACACCTTTTGAATAATCAATACATAAAGCAGCTCGTGCAAAATTGTCCTGCTGCATATCGTTAACATTTAATGATGTGGAAGTTACTCCCACACGTCTTGCAGCTTTGATTATACATTGTCTTTGGGCCCAGATGTTCCAAATACGTCCTAAAATCATCATAAAAGCTTCTTTATTTAGTGAATTGGAATCGGTAAAAACGTTTTTTTTCATACCACGATACTCATGATGAAGGTTTTTATTGAGTTGATCTAAAAGCTGTGTCACATCAGTGGTATCTGGTGGAGTTAAGAACATACGTATGTTTTTTGATTTTAAAAACTTTAAGACATCAAAATTAAAGCGTGAACAATGCCCATCAGAAAGCAAAACTACTGGTCGTGCAACTTTTTTTTCAGTAAGATATTCATCAAACTCTTTATACATATCTAACAACGAATTGTGATCAGATACACCATGATTGCACGTTGTTATTAGAAGATGCGGAGTATTTGCCACAGCTTCCTGTGGAGCCATTTGATTAGTTATTCCAACTGTACCAAAGAGTACTTGACAGACACAAAGGTCTCCTAAAATTACAAAGAAATATTATACAACACCACCCTTTCAATCTATATTATAAATATTTATCAAAAAAGTGATATGGAAATAGCTGCCTGAAAATGATACTAGAGGATGAATGGTGACACATTCACGGTTCTCTCTTATCATTTTACAACATGTTTCCCTTTTTGCAGCAAAAACAAGACCAGCAGGAGTACCATCAACACCAAAATTTATAAACTGTGGTGTTTCATCGTGATTAAATATTCTGCATAGATCAATATTTCCAGACCAAACTCCTGTCTCCTTTTGGGCTGCTTCAGTCATAATGCCAGCCTCGATCAATTCCTCTGCAAGACTGTCTAAAGACAACCATGACAAACAATTAGTAACTCAGTTTTGCTAGAACTATTTTCATGAATGTAAAGTAAGAATTCATAAACTGATAGAAAGGCGTAGCTCTGGGTTAAACTTTAAATAAAGCATATGTATACTATGAAAAATAATAACTCAATATTTACTCATACCAAGGTGGGAACATACCATTTCCCTGGTGGAATTGAGAGCTCTATTTATTGATACATTTCCTTGTCGCTTGAGTATTAAGCTTGGATTCTTAGCTATAAAGCGCATCCAGAACGATTTACCTAATCTGCGTTTTAAATAAAAGTAAAAAATAATATATATATATATATATATATATATATATATATATATATATATATATATATATATATATATATATGTATATATATATATGTATATATATATGTATATATATATTATATATATATACATATATATATACATATATATATATATATATATATATATATATATATATATATATATATATTTATATATTATATATATATATATATATATATATATATATATATATATATATATATATATATAAACATATATATTATATATATATATATATATATATATATATATATATATATATATATATATATATATATATATATGTATATATGTATATATATATATATATATATATATATATATATATATATATATATATATATATATATATATATATATATATATATATATATATATATATATATATATATATATATATATATATATATATATATATATATATATATATATATATATATATATACATATATATATATATATATATATATATATATATATATATATATATATATATATATATATATATATATATATATATAAAAACATAGTTACTTGTTTTTTTTCAAAGAATTTTTTGCATTTGCTGATAATGCTGTGAATTTTCTCCCACCTTTCAATCTTTTATTTGTGTATTGTCTAACTTTCAGAACATCAAGGACAAGTTTTGTTAGTTCTGCTTTGTTTATGCCCTGCATTGCTCGATTTTTATTCTTAATGTATGAAACAATTGACATCTCTTTTTCCTCCAAAAGAATTGCACAATACTGCCTTTCAAGACCATTGACTATTTTCCCATCAAGTCTACGGTTTATAGTTTCACGATCTTTAATAAGTGGGAATTGTCTAGTTTTAATTGCAGTATGTCCTCTTATACTATTTTGTTTACACCATTGAACAGCAGCTTCAAGTTGTTTGTTTTTTTCTAATGTAGCTTTTCTCTTTATAAGTGCTTCAGCATTAGAACTTGGGTTTAGAGATTTCATCTGCAAGCGAGTTTTGAACTTTTTGCTGCTGTTACTCATGCTTACTTATTTTATTAAAAACAAAAAATCGAAAATCACATAAACTTAACTAAAACTATCCTCTACGCAAGAGCGTAAAATAAAATCATTTTATAAATTTAGTATAACCAAAACAATAGCTACAAATTTACTCTAAATCTTGAATTTTTGTAATATTACTTAGATTTTTGTCAAAACTAAAATAACTCATGTGGTTTTTGGGGTCCCAACCATGCGGTTTTTGTAGCGCCTCAGGTACTTCCATAAAATATAAGTTTGCAATCAAAATACTATATGAAGGGGAATTTAGTATAACAAACTTATTCAAAATATGGGAAAGTTAAAACTAGTTTCAAAAAAGTTACACACGATTTAAGCCATGTGGTTTTTAAGGTCCCATACTAAAATATTTACATTGAAAAACTGTACATTGAAAAAAAAAGTAAACAAAAAAAAAAAAAAAAAAAAATTTTAACTCCTGGGAAGAACTTTTACTATATAAAAGAATATAAAAAAGAAAAAAAAAGTTAAGTTTTTTGTTTTGTACAAAAGATATGACAAAAGAAAAAATCATGTGGTTTTTGGGGCCCGTCTACCTGTAAATAAGTGGAAAGTTATTATTTGCAAGCGCAATAAAGTTTGCATATTTTAAGAGTTTTAAAAATGGCTACGGATAACGAATATAAAAAAATTCTCATTGACAACGAGCTACTTTTCTAATTTTTAGCTATTAAATATGAATTAAGCCGTTTATAAGGAGGAAATTATAATAAAAGTAACTTCTAGTACACAATAAAATGTTTCAAATTAAATATAAAACCTCTAAAAATGAATAAAATGTAATTACAGCAATAGCAACTATAGTGTGTTTTGTGTATTGTTTTCAAATCGTTTTTAAAAAAATTTTAAGCGTAGAAATTTTTAAATTTTAACTTTTTCAGATAAATAAACTGTTTTTTAGAATGTTTACTGATATTAGTATTTAATTTTTTTTCAAGATTAAAAGATATTTATTTAACATTAACTTTTTCTAAGCTGTTGCTAGGCTACTCTATAGTCACAATACATAATTACATTGATGTGAGTAATTTAATATATATATATATATATATATATATATATATATATATATATATATATATTTATATTAGATCACTGAATTTTTACTAAAAAATTAAACTTTGTAATTAACAATTAAAAATCTAAAAACATACTGTTAAAAAAATAATGTTGGTTTTTACCTGTCAAGGTGTTCTGTCAGTAAATCTTTTTTGAAAATCTAAGAGATCATCAAGATCTGACTCAGAACTGTTCATTTTACAGGGCTAATAAAAAAAATATCAGTGTATATCAAGAACAAAAATTTGTTTTAAAGTGTTATTTTTTATTGTAATTACTGCTAAATTTGCGTTTAAAAAAGCCATCTTGGGTTTAATTATAGTTTTACTTCCTTGTGGTATAAATTCTTGGCAACTTTGAATATTTTTTCATACAATTATGAAAAAAAAAAAAGCAGAATTTAATAACCTTACACAATACAAAAAATTTAATTTTTTATTATAATTTGTATTACTTTGAAGTGCACTCTGAAGTTACTCTAACAAGAAAATAAATAATTACAAAATGTGTTATTCTTTGACTTAGCATCTCTCCTAAGTATTTCTTTGAACAAATAATAAAGAAACAAAGGGCTAGAATTTTTGTATATTAAAGAATCTATAAGGTGCTTCAAATTCAAATAAAAAATTCGTATATGTATTTTAAGCAACTCTCTACTAAAAGACTTAGCAAAATGTTGAATGTTGTTTGCAGATTTAAAAAAATCTTTTGTTTTTAAAATAGCTTTTTAGATTGCGAAAGTTCCCAATAAGTAAACCAAAGACAAAATATTAATTATTTTTTACTTTACTTATTTTCAATATCTTTGATACATTTTTGACATTTTTAACCCAATAAAATTTAATATTAATTACAATTTTACACACCTCTCGGGAAATGTAAAGTTGTAGTTTACATAATTGTAAAATTGTAAACAAAAAATCGCCGTAAACCTTTTATAGGACTGTGTAATTTTACAATGTAAACAATTTAGCTACATTGTAAATTCGCTTTATAGGATAGGGCCAAAGCAAGCATTTTTTTGTTACGTTGCTGTAGGCTCGGACTTGTTCAATTATTGACCACGTTAATTTGGGTGTTATTTTTAAGTTTTCTTTTATCTGCCATATATACTTTATATACATATATACTACATATATACCACTCTTTCAAAGTATACATGGCAGATATATATATATATATATATATATATATATATATATATATATATATATATATATATATATATATATATATATATATATATATATATATATATATATATATATATATATATATATATATATATATATATATATATATATATATATATATATATACTGAAATAAATATACAATTGCAGCTGTTTAGCTAAAAAATGTTAATCGGAAGAAGCAAAAGTGGATGGCGTGGTGCTAATAAGATGGTATCGATATGATCTAGTCTCAATTAAGTTAGTCGCAGGTATGTGTTTTAAAAAGTTTTACCGTTTATTTGTAGACTAATTTTTTAATGTATTGTGCTTGAAGAACGTTGCTTATTATTGCTTATTATATATAATATTAAAAAGTGTTTATTTATCAGACGAAAAATAAAACCTGTAAATAATTTCTCTCTATATTTACTTGTTCAAGTGCCAGTTCCTTGTTACCCAGTGGGCACCCGATGTCAATCCGACGTCGGATTTACGTTTGATTTTCATCAGCGATGTTAAAAGACCTATTCCGACGTTGTTCCGATGTCAGTAAAATGACGTCGGGCGATGTCTTTATCTCAACATCCCCCGACGTCGTTTCGATGTATTTTGACGTTGTTCCGACATCTTATAAAAGACGTCCAAAAAACGTCGCAGTACTGACATCGATCCAACGTCGATAAAAAGACGTCGGGCAACGTCATAATATTAACGTACTCCGATGTCTTTTGACGTCTTCCGACGTCAATCCAACGTCCTTAAAACGACGTCGGAACAACGTCGTAAGACATCGCTGATGAAAATTTAATCCAAACCCAACAATATGTGTGCAATTGCGCTCTTCAATAATTATGTGAACTAAGCGTGTTTTTTTATTAATGGAAAAAAGTTTGAATAAAGGTTGATAAAACATCATGAGGTTTTGTATGATGCACTAGCATAGTTTTTTAACTATTAACATTTTCGAGTATACATTTTTTATAATATATACCTATTCGTTTTAATATTTATATAATATTTAAACAAAATTATTTCTTATCAAAGTAATAATTCCCAAATAGCTACAAGTATAAATTACTAAATAAACTTATCACTTATTATGTCCTTGTGGTGTAGTGGTAAGCGCATAGGATTTAGTGTCTAATAGATCGAGGTTCGATTCCTGCCAAAGGCAGCGTTTTTTAGTTTTCAAAAAACACGTTGGATTTACATCGGAATGCCGACGTCGCGCGATGTCAGTTTATCCGACGTCAAATAACATTTCCATTTCCAACGTAAACCCAACGTCGATCCGACGTCGAGATCCGACGTCGCTCGACGTTCGTTCGACGTCGAAATGCCCACTGGGTAACTGTTGTCTGCCATTAACAAACCAATTATAAAAATACTCATAATGACAACATTTTTATCTTTAGAACTGTTTGCAAAAATTTTGGTTTGGATACAAAAAATCAAGTGAAAATGATACTGGAAAGGTACACTTTCTTATATCTAAACATCATTGCAGCTTTCTAGTCTTCATTTTTGTTTATGTGTATTTCATCTGTGTTGCTAATGATATCGCCAGTTTTTATGATTTTATGTTGTTAAGTAAAGTATCCTTATGTTTCAGGCTAAAATAGAGCTTTTACGAATACTTTTTTCCAGTTTAAATGAATAACAACTCTTAAAGGGATCCCAAACTCCCAACACATGTTGTGTTCATATTAAAGATAATGTTAAAAAAAAAGGTTTGAAGCAAATTTTTTTGCTTAAAAATAAATAATGAATGCATACCGAGAAAAACAAATGTTGTTGTTTTTGCCGAAGCTCGTCTTCTCATTTTTTTCAACTAATCGGAGTCTTTAAATTATGCGTCGCAATCTACAGACTTTGGCAATTCCTTTGAAGCGCGTTTAATTCATAAAAGTTTTAGTATTTGACGTCAAGGTAGACTTTTAACAAAAGAAAAGTGTAATTAAACCATAGTCATAGTATTTAACTAGTCTGGAAACGCGGGCCGTTTTCTTAAAACACTTAAGTTCCTCTCGATACTAGTGCTCAGCCTACTTTAGAGTGCATCAAATTGTAAACATTGTATTTCGCTATAGATAAGTTACACATATTCTGGGATAAATATTGAAATGGCATGAACAAATTGTGATTTTTTTGGTTATTCAGTTTCAAGTTAATATTTTGGATTGCATTTATATTTCGTATTCCGAATAAAAATGATGAATATAGCATAAAATAAAGACATCAGCTGTTGGTAAATGTAGTTATGTGACAGAGTTTGTATTGGTATAAATATGCTTATTCAACCATATAGCTTATATCATATAAGCATTTAAGTTATATGCACTATATGAAAATATGTTATAGATGCAAATATTTTATCAACTGTATAACTTGATGGATGTATATGGGTATAAATACTTTGTATTATATTCAGAGTATATTTATTTAAAGTGTTAGCTAATATAGCTTAATAATCTATATTCTATATATAGTTTACTTAGCTAGATTAGTTGATAATTTATATATCATTCTTTACACTTTGCTGGTATCTTTTCTGGAAACAAGAAAAAATAAGGTACAATTTTTTCATTTTGAATGGTTTCAAAGCTAAATTAGATGTTGGTATCTTTAAAGATATGTGTTATACCCTTAACATAGCATATTTATCTACCTTATAGAGAAAATTATATCTTAATTATTACCTAAATTATATTAAAAATAGTGATTTGTT